GTGAGGACAAGGAGTTTGAATTCTATCCTCTGAGGAATGGGGAGGCAGTGGGTGAGGGCAGGGGTGATGGGGTCATGGAGCCTGGAACTATTAATGCCATTTTATCTGGAGGACCGTTGGGCAGGACAGCGGGAGAAACTCCCTTCTCTTTTCGAATAGTGCCATGGGATCTTTAACATGCATCTGAACAGGCAAACAGGATCTCAGTTTAAGAACACCATCTACCATAATGTTGTACTTCTCAAGCACTGAATTGGAGTGACAGCCTATGTAGTCCCTCTGTGGGGCTTGAATGGGAAATTTGGTGAAGAAACATTCAATGCCCTGTCATTACAAGCTAATGTAAACGCCTCTTACAGAAACGTAGAGATGGTGTACAAATATTGCAAAGCAATGTGAAAAATAATAAAACATTGATGTCCGATCCATACGTACAATATCATATTTAGTATGCACGGTACAGCACTCATGTTGAAACGCAGGCACATCATGTGGCTACAGTGAAAGTACAATGTACTAATTAAGATTGTGTGCTTATCAGTTTTGTTTGCAGTCTCTGTCTGCTTTACTATCAAAACACCCTCCCTCCTTATTGTGAATAAATCTGCAGTTAATGGCCATGTGCCACGGTTTGGTAGGCTCAAGAAACAAGGTCAAACAGAATGGATTTTGAAGCTCATTGTCAAAGAATATGATCAAAGCTTATTTATATTAAGTGGCTTGCCACAATAGGCAAGTGCAAGTTTCATATCAATGCAACTCAAATTTCTGTCAGTGATCTGTTGGGAATAACCACAGTTTGCTGTATAATGTACACGCTCTCGTAACCTACAGGTTCCACTTTCAATTAATATTGGATGTACTGCTGCTCCATACTTTTGCTGTTCACACCACCCTCTCATTTTAAAGAGAGAATGAAAAGCAAAGAGAAGACAGAAAAACAAAACATTAGGCTACACTGATAAATGTACAACCCATTTGATTTAAAGACCAAGAGGAACCCTGGTTCAAATCCCGTGGACCATTTGGTCTCAAATTTACAAATTGGGCTAAATTGTGAAAACCTCTTGAATTCCGTTTTAATTTGGAAGTCAGATTTCTGCCGTTGTTGGCTTCCAAATTATGACTGAATTTAGGAATTTTACACAATTCTATGTGACCTCAAATTTTAAGATGAAGTGGTCATGAAGCCAATGATTTGGTGAAATTTCAGGCTGCTGGCCTGTGCTGAGATAGCCGATCTCTTTCCCAGGGGCAGGAGTTGGGGCACTGCAAATGATCCTTGTGTTCCTGGGCTAGAGAGGTGAAAAATGACCAGGGTTCCTTTCTCATCGCTATCTGGAGCCCCCGTACCAGTGGTGCGGATGTCAAGAGATTACAGGAGAACTCAACTCGATTCCCACGGTCAAATAAACTGACATTCACTGGCTACAGTCAATTGTGAAGAATGGGTACTTGGTTGAGGCCAGGGGAGGGGAGGGAGCATTTGGCACCCACAAAACTGCATTCCAACATGAATCACTGCCTACAGAAAAGGAGTGGGAAGAAACAAAAGACTATAGAGTCAAGATTTGAAAAATTCCTACTTGAAGCTTGCAAAGTCATACAATCCCATAAAACCTTAACACGTCATGAAAGCTTTTTCTGTGAGGTTAGTCAGGTGAAGAATGCAATTGCTGTAAATCTTCAAATAACACACTTCAGCTAAGAAACAGATTTGAAACCTTTCCTTGTTTACTGTATTGTCGAGTTGAGCTGTATCCTGTAGGTCCTGTATGTTCCTTCACACCACTGTGGTATTACATATTCCCTTGAGAGTACAATCATACATCATTTAATTTCAAAAAGGTAAATAGTTTAAGCTGTCCCAGAAGAGAGAGAGAGAGAGAGAGAGAGACTGAGAGAAGATAAATTAGGAACAAAAATATAACTGTTGAAGAATTATTTAATAATTATTTGAACCAAAACGGATGAGGTATGACTGAACTCCCACTGAGCTCCTATTGGACTTAGTGTTCCATGACATTTGCTACCACCGTTTAAAACTTGGAACTGATGTGGCAGGAAATTAAGCTGCACAGACTCAATAATTTTCTTCATACTTAAACTGCACAATTAAAATGTTTTATAAGGACATTCAAAAGATGACTGAATAGGTACACTTTCATCTCATACAGGCCATTATGTAAGGATATATTACAATGAAAAAATTTATAGGCCTCGCTTGGCCAATGCGGTTAATAGTGCATAAATGATGAAGTATATCTACAGAAATCAACTCTCCTCTTTTGCTGCATTACGTATTAAAATAATAAACCTCATAATTATAGTGCAGGGTTAGTTTGCAGCCTTTAAAACCTTGCCTTTGAACTTTTGTAACATTTTGTTCTATTGGAATATCAAGTCTTCTTACCAGAACTGTTGGCAAACAAACAAAATTATTTCTATCCTTCTTCTGCTATTAAATTCAACTGATACAGTGTCCTTCCATGATTTAGAATCACCTGAGCCCAGCAACTAAAATGGCTATAAAAGTATACTGCTTTATGTTTCATGTTTATCTCTATGCCGGTCAAATGTATTTCTGGCAAAATGTCAGTGCTGGAGAATGGAGCACTTTTCTTGCTTTGGCAATGTCCAATGCAATGCATTGTTGGAGAGACATTAAACCGAGTCCAGTCCGCCTGTTCAGGTGGACATTAAAGATCCCATGGCACTATTCAAAAACAGAAGGGAGTTTCTCCGAAGGTTCCACCCAACAATTTCATAAATAACAAAAACTGGCTTCACAGCTGTTTATGGGACATTGCTCGATGGAAATTGGCTGCGGTGTTCACCTACAGATGTTTTATAGAAGAACCCTCTGAGGCACTAACATTTTCAGGGGATAAGGCATGATACCAAATGCAAGAAATATTTTTTCATTTCAGTGACAGTATTAAGCTTTTGTATGTCAGGCATAAGTTTTGTTTTTTCTCTGCATTTACTCCAACTTCAGAACAACAAACAAACATGTGCAGCCTTCTTACTGCTCCTAAATTCACATTAAACTGTTTCCCAACATGATTTCCCATATCAACAATCTTTGAGACTCCTCAGGGAAAAATTACTAGATTACTGCTAGTTACTAACCAATTAGAGAGAGTATTGGGCTATGACTCGTCTCATAGATGAACAATAGCCATTTAGATCAGATAGAGGGTGCACCCCAACAAACACAGTAGCCATTACCTACAGGGGAGTAGAGGAGAAAATGACAAAAACGAATGCAGTAAACTGCAATTATTTGACTCCAAATACTAGTAAGTACAAGATAGGTACATGCCGATATGGTTGATTTGCAAACTTAGGAGTATGATTTATGTGCTGATATGGTTTAAGGGGTTTAAGTGCTTGGCATAAATCTCAGACCGGGTGTGCTGTTTACACTGGTATAAGTAGCACCCCAGAGTTTATGGTAGCAATAAGGAATGCAACACCTATTGAATGCAATATTACTACACAGTGGTAAGCATGAAACTAAATCTTAGCACATCTTTACCTGATCAGAGTACAACCCAATTTCAAGTGAACAAAAGAAGTCTAGTTTCCTTTCTCTAAGGACTTATTTGAGTCAATGGCCTTCTGTCAGCAGATACTACACATACTGTGCTGGTCCATTATCATTCTATCTTGGTCTGCTGCCCAGCTGCTGTAAAGCTCCTATTGACCAATGCGTTTTAACTCTCTGGTCATTGGATATTATTCTCCAGACTTGACAGCTTTATTTGCCTTGGTTCAATAGAGGAGAGACTTCAGGTTACAAAAGAATTATAAGTGAAGCTGTCATGTCATTTAGAACCGAGTTCTGTTTAACACATATCAGAGTCTGAAACTCCAACAACGTGGCTTTTGTTTGACTGGAGCTACCTGAGGACGGAAGATATTTGAATAATTTGACCTTGGTGTGAATTTTTTTCCCCTCACTTAAAAATGAACAACCACAGATATGGAAGATGTCTGCCCTCCTCCGTGCAACCTGATCCATAAATGCAACCTACGTCAGAGAATTCCTACTTGGGAGTTTGTGCTTATTTATTTCAATCTATACTTGTGCAGAACCCAGAAATATTAGGTCACTCTACCTGAAAAATTAAATAGTTGCTTGAGTGTTAACTGTTCCGAATGCTGGAGGTCCTTTTCTTCTACCCTAACACTAATAATAAAGAAGGATTATTTGAATTAGCAGCTCATGTGCACAAAATGTGCAGGGTAGAGGAGTGGGGTGTAAGTAGGTCAGAGAAGTAAGAGGGTGCCAGGGCATGAAGTGATTAGTACATGAGTGTGGGGATCTTGAAATCGATCCATTCTGCAATCAAATGGTTTGACTTTTAGCCTCTTCTCTGGACTCTCCCATTTTGCTCCATCTCATTTTTGCGGTTTGCAACTACAGCCTTTCACATGCTGTGGTTCTGATCTGTTCTGGGCTGTTGCGGTAAGATAAACAAGCAGAAGGAGAGTCACCTTGAGGCAGATCTCAGGCTGAATCGTGATGTTGGCCTGGAAACAGCTCAGTCTCTCAGACACAGATGACATGAAGTACAACAAAACCAATTAAAAGTAGAACAAAAGCACTTTAGTACTGAAATAACAGTAGAGGAATTGAAGAAAAAATCCCAGGATCAGTTGCTTGATAATACGGTACCTCTCCCATCCTCCACTGCTGTTAATTCCCAAGTGGCAATAGCAGTAATACCATGACTTTACAATGGAAAGTCATTTTGCTGTAAGCACCCACCTCCCTTCTGAAGTGCAGGGCAAAGTCCATGAATGTAAAAACAGTGAGAGTGCAAAAAGGGTCACCAGATTTTCATTGCCTTCACTTCTGAGTTCTGTCCTAAAAATAGCTATACTGTCGTATAAAAGTGACATTAGTGGTCAATCTGGTATAACAGTACATATTTGTTCTCTGAACAGCACTTATCCTACTGTATCTTTGCTTATAGGTAGTCATTACTTACAGCGACTGTAGAGCATGCAAGCTCTGCAATGCCTTGTCAGGGACCTGTCTCAGCCGGTTGTTCTGCAACATACTATTGAAATGGAAAAGGAGAAGGGTTAAAACATAAATCAAAATATCTCAAAATTCTGTGCTCTTTCCTAAATAATGCCACAATATTTTTACCATTACTATTTAAATTACAGAATCTATTTATTCCAAAAAAATTAAAAACTTATGTAAAAAAAAATGTTTTTGGAAGACATTGGACTGCTATAAACACCATTAACAAAGTTTTATGAGAACAACAAGTTGCATTTATATAGCGCCCTTCACGCCAGGTAGCGTCCTGGAGTGCTTGACAGTGGCGGAGTCTGACCCTGGACTATAGTTCAATTGTAAACAAATGTATTGTTATCCATAAAGTTTCGGAAGGTGAATGCAGCAGCAAGTTTGACTCTACATTTACTGTTAAGAGGCTGTGGGGTGAAATTTACAGTGTTTGTTAACATACTCCTTGTGATAGTTGACACCTTCTTTGCAAATGTATACAAAATTGATGCAATTTTTTTATGTTCAACCAGGTGTCTGAGATATTTTAGAGTTCCATGCATCCCACCGATGCATCAAAATTCCAGAGATAGTTATATAAATATCTCTGGAATTTCCATGTATAGGTGGGAGGTCATGGAACTCAGAATTTGGTTTGGATACTCTTAAACATGCTAATGGGTTTCGCCTGCCCAAAAAAATGAAAATGATAGGGCCTACATTTTCAAATGAATATTTAATTTTTGTTTAACTCTTCCCTGGCATAAACGATATCCAGCTGCTAAGCTTTCCCTGAGAAACCATCCTCTACTTTGGATCTTTGACATTCACTTGGGAAATATCAAATTGATTTCCCTCATTAATGCTATCTTATGATGGCATCTTTGGTGTCAATGTCAACCTCAGACTCCTGGTACTGTACAAGCACTGACAGCAAAAGGATGGTATAAATTTCCCGGTGGGGGCTGATATTGGAGTAAGTAGTAGGCATCGTCAAGTGCTTTAATTTTTACACTGGACACTTCTTAACTTTTTTTTATTTAAAAAAACATTTTTTCAAACTCTTGATAATCAGGGATCGTTACATGCTTGAGTTGTTCACTGTGAAGCTAAACCAGATTAGCCAAGGTCCCAGAATTGATCTCCAGCTTGTGCTTCCCCATGTTCAATACTTGATCTATTGTCAGATCTTTGTTGGGCTAGAAGTTGTGGTTCTACAATTGTCCCCAGCACCTCAGAGCTAGGGTTCCTGGTCCCACACCTTTCCAATAAGTCCTGCTGAGTAGTTTGCTTGTGCAGATATTGGGTGAGGACGGGATCAGGCTCAGCTACGTGTGCATGGCATGCGAATGTGGAACTCTCAGTTTGGATTGGATTCTCGTAAGCGCAGTGATGGGTTTTCGCGTGTCAGACATCCGGCTGACCAGAAAAAAATATGAAGGGATAAAAGAGCACAGACTGACAAAGAACGAGAGCGCAAAAAAACACGACTAAAAAGTAATAAAATGTAACAAACGGGAACAAAAAGTAACCTAGTCACCAGAACATCGTGGGGCGCCCTTCCGATATGAAAGGTGCTATACAAATGTATTGTAGAGGCAATGAGAAATGAATCTGTTGCAACTAGTATGTTCAGTAAAACATTGTGATTACTGCAGTGTTATATCAAACATATTCTCTAATGCTTCATGTTTTTCATACAAAATTTGAACAGCCCCAAAGTGCATTTGCCGGACAGCACACCCCACCTTACCCTGCTTTTAGACCATCTTCTTCACACCTTTCTGCATTTCCTCTGCAGAAACTGAATACATTTTCTGTCGACAACAATTTACTTGACAAAGGCCTTTTTTGTCTCTCCTGGGAATATCAGTTAAACTTCTCTGTCCCCAGGCAATATGGATAAGCTTTCATTCAGGCGAGACAAATGCTTTCTTAATAGGCAAAACAAAGGTGATTAATGAACATGGCTCAAATGATTGCATTTTCTCTCAGCCTCAAACAGCTTCTATGGGAGGAACTACAGAGCAATACATAGCAATATATATTGAAATTCTGGGGCAATACAGGAAATTGCTGCTTTATCCAAGGTGAATTATCATCTCCAAAAGCCCATAAACATCATTATAAATGAAATTGAAGTTCTACCATATCTGAATGGTCATAATAATAGAAGCAGCTGAGTTTAAAGTTAAAAAATAGACTAAAAAAGTCCCTAATACCATACATTATAGTTTTATTGAATATTTTCAATCCATGGTGGTGCTCATGCTTTTTGGCAGTGAAAATAATAATAATCATAATAATCCTTATGTTTCGGTACTCTATAGTGCTTTTCGCGTCAGGTGAAGTCCCAAAGCACTTTACAGAATATATTGGAAAGTGCAGTGACTGTGTGCTTTGTGGGTGAAATGAATGGAGTTAGTGATTATATAAACCAGGTGGTGCAGTTAGCCAGGATTACAAGGTATAAGTGAATAAAAATAAAGCATGGGCCTTCTAATTCCATCACTTTACTGAACATCAACCGGAAAGCTTCATTCAATAAAATACGATTTTGGTTACTTCCTTGGTATACTTCTACAGTGTCCTGTGTAAAGGTAAAACATTATAGGGTTGGTGGGGGTAGATGACATTTTCGCAAAATACTGTAGTTCACATTTTTTTAGAACCGACTCGAATGTATGGGGAATCAATATTAGATGTATTATTGAATATTTAATATGAAATATTATATCAAATCCTTGGGACTTCCTCTCAAGTTGAAAGGCACTACTGTACATAAATGTAAATTTGTATTGTATTTTGTTTCACTGAACAGTATAATCTAGCTTGGTGTTCAAAAAGTACAAGGATTATTAATACAATAGTTTTATGATTCTTATTACAATTTGTTTTAGAAAACTGGAATAGTTTTCAAAGCTGACTACTTCTTTTTACAAAGTAATTTTACATGTATTTTCTGCAATGCTTGATGTATTTACTAGACGTCCTCCTGATGTGAAAAGCACTATTATAAATGCAATTTGTTGTAGTTGCTGCTCCTATTCAAAAAATACATGTTAAGAATCATACTTCCTAAGTACAAACAAACATAATTCAAATGAAGGAAGAATTTACTTACAGAACTTTTAGGTTGTAAAGACCAGCAAAAGCTCCCATAGGGATGTATGTCAAGTCATTTCCTGCAAGACGCCTGCAGGGTGAAAGAAGAAGTGAACACATTTTTATCATGTGGGATTCATTTGGAGGCTTTAGAAACGGAATGAAATTTATACGAAAACATGAGTTTCCCATAAAAAAAATGACAATAACAGGCAAGGTACATACATACATATACTGGGAAAATATTCACTTTTAGGCTGTTTGGTTGTGTAAACAATTTTTAGTAACTAAAGCCAAATGTATTAAAATAACCATGTTTCATGCATTCACTAAAGCTTAGTCTGATAGCTCTATTGGTCTCATTGAGGCGATTATACTCATAAAGCTTGCAAGTAAAAATATTGTTTTACACTCTGGTGAAAGAATTGGCAACTTTCATTTAATTGTGATTAAATCCATTGGCCACCCAACAGGTTAATTTACCTCTAATGCACAACCCAAACATGTGCAGAACTCACCAAGTACCATACAATGTGACAGGTACACCAATGTATTTTTGCTTACAGTTGTGGACAGAAAGAACCAAGTTCTATTCATCAGGATCCCGAAGATTGACACCATATATATAAGAACTTTAGCTTGCTTTGCAATAAGGTGTGTGGTAGAGCTTGGGGCTTAAATCACCTGGTCATTATACTGTAGCCAAATAAAACACTCAACAATGCATAGGAAAAGTTAAATAGATTAGCTCTTTAGTAGGAAGCAATATACATGCCAACCTGCATCTAATATATTCCGGAATTAGGTGAGGATGATGCATCCCTCCAGGGAGAGAGTGTGCTTTCCATTCCAACAATCTGCCTCAGGAAGTTCCACATGTAGGTGGGATACATGGAATTCTCAGTTTGGTTTGGATACTCGTAAGCACAGTGATGGGTTTCCGCATGTGTCAGACACCGAGCTGACAAAAAAAAATCTCCCTTTTCTAACAGTAAAAGTACTGCATGAAATGAGTTTGAGAGATTCTCAACCACACTCATAGCAGCTTTGGATGCCCAGCTCAAAACTACCATTAGTTTAATTTTTTTTTATTGTCATTTGATAAGAGGCATGCTTCTGAAGCTGGGGTTTAATGTACATTGTTGGAGATAACTGAAAGAGTCTGTGGCTGGCCCATATCGTACCTGAACATGCCTGATGCTTATACTGCGATCCAAATGGCAACATGACCAATTACCTAGCACTGATATCCCTTTATCTTAATGAAAAGGGGAAAAAAATGACCACAAAGTACTCAGGGGAACAAAAGGGAATGGGGTAAAAGCCAAATTGATGGAAATAAGCTTTCAAAACANTTTTTTATTTCTTACAGCATGACAAACACTAGTAATTCAGTCCGCAGTAATAAATAGAACAGATGCCACAGCAATGAGAGCTTGGGTACTACTAAGAAAGTTTGTACTGATGTAGTTCTGTGATATAAATGCAGCATTGTAGCTGTATACAATGACTACCCTATTGGTGTGGTGTCGATACCTTCTCTGCAAGATGGGAAACAGCCATAGAGGCCAACCATAGCAAAACACTTTTTAGTTCTGGATGAAAGTGGGCAGAAACATTTGGCTGCTTAGCTTGCCAGCAGCCCTTTACTTTCTGGCTCCAATCACTAGAAAAATCAGGCTGGTTGGCATTTACAGTGTTGTCAAACCAAGGGTCAAAATGCCCTACAGTGGGGTCGACACTGTCTCCTCTTCAGGAATGTTGCTTTCATTACATTCACAGCCTGCTGCCAAGTTTGGAGTTGGTGCCAACAGCACACAACGAATATTTAATGTGTTATAAAATACTAATGTGCTAAATATACATAAGATTTGTAATGTTCAGCATTAGTCCCTGCAGCTCCAGTGGATTGGCTTCCCACCTTATTGTGATTTTCAAGGCTGTGTGGAAATCCCCACGGCCCAGCATACCTCAGTGAAATGAAAATCTAACTCATGGTTTCTAGCCCTATCCTATCCTTTGTGAAGTTCCTTATGTAAACTGCACGAAGCTTCATTTCAGAACTATTCCCAAGCTTTATTTATGCTTTTGAACTTTGGCTTCTTCCATACCCTGTGATCTTTCGCTCACAAATATACGGTCAATTCACTTTAGAGTCTATTCTGTGAAGCGCTTTAAAACGTCAAGAAGATGTGAAAAGCGCTATATCAAAGGCAAGGATTATTATTATTATTATTATCTGCTGATTGGGGAATATTATCAGGTGATGATCCAGGGGGCAGTAGGTTTAGTGTGCTTTAACAGTAGGTGCTTATTATGGCCTTACCCCATTACCTGAGCACATCGGCAAACTATATTATACTGACTGCCCTGGGACTATCACCTCATGTGTTTCCATTTGAGGATTGCATTCCTGTGGCCTGATGTGAAACTCAACAAATGGCCGTGAGGCGGAGGTGCTGAAAGGTCTGTTGTCGTCTTGACTTTGTGTTGGGGTTTATGGCTTGTTGGTGAACTTGTTAATGTCTAAATTTCCTGTGCGTTTATAGGTTCACACTTTGGAGAGGATTTCACTTGATTTTATTGTATTGCAGCATGGTAATTAATTTTAATCTCCTGTTATATCTTTTTCTGTCGCTTAACTATTTACAGCATTCAGCTGAAAGACCTCTCTGCTGCATTTAGACTGTGGATGGGGGGAGTTGGGAAAGGAGGGGTAAAGCAAGCGCTGGTGCTGGGTTTACCCTGTGCAGTGATGGCAAAAAGAATTGAAAAATAAACGCAGCATTAATGTTTGCTGAGCGGTTCCACTTAAAAAATAATGTGTTAATTGTAGCTGGACAAAATTTTGAATTAAATAATAATGCTTGCGTTTGATATAGCACCTTATCATGTCATTAGGATGTCTAAAAGTGCTTCACTGAATATTTTTAAAAGTGGAATGACTGTATTTGTGCGCAAAATGCGGCAACCAATCGCTCACAGCTGTGTTCCACAAACAATCATGGATTGAGTGACCAAATTGTTTTGTTTTTGGAAGGACTATTACCCTGGAAAGTAATCCACCAATCGATTAACAAACGGATTCCTACTTATTGCTAGGTAAACAGAGGCGTGTGAAGTAAGGAAACTTGCCAAAGGATTCGCCCCGCCCGGGAATCAAACCTGAGTCCTTTCTCTTGTGAGGTGAGCATGCTAACCATTACGCTACGGAACTCCAACTTCTCCAATTTACAAATAGACTTCTCATGAGTTCATATCTGAAGTTAATAACCAGAAAGTAACAATACCAGTACAAACAGACCCAAACAGGAAGACGCCTTGCCACCAGTGCAGAGCATGATCATTGTACCTGAGTCATTCACTCCATGACAGTTGGTGAGGTATTGCTGTGTGCAAATTCACCTCAATATCACCTACAAAATACTGTCACTGCACTTCACATAAAAAAAATCCTGTGAAGTGTTTTGAGATGTCTTGACAACGTGATAAGGCTCTATATCAAACGCAAGGTTACTCTTTTTACGATCAGTTGCCAGATGTTTAATATTTCAGTATCAGATTTCATTCTCAAACACATGCCAAGATATCATTCGAGGCATAACAAAGAAATGTAGCAACCAGTAGAAACCTTAAGTTTAAACTTGATATATTACATTTGAACAAATCACCTTTGGATCATCTTGGAGCCTAAGTCAGTTATAGCCACACATGAGGTTTTCATAAAGAAACCATATTCATTTTCTCTATCAAGGGACTTTATTAAGGTGCAAGTAATTCTAACAAAGGGAATTTGCCACATTTTTTCCATAGTGATGGGAAGAATGCAAATCCACTCCAGTATAGTTCCCCGGAGAGGTACAGAAAAAAGAAAAATGTTACAACAGTTATTAGACTTGGAGGCAAAATATTCTTTAATCGTATCGCAAAAATTTGAATTGAAGCCAGCAGGAGTGATTTGTTTTAGGACAGGATCTGAAATCAGGCATCAATTTAAACTGCATGAGGTCAGTCCTTAAGTGTACAAGTAATGGTGTGCAATATTCTACATGGGAAACTTGATAGGAAACACTCCTTTCTGGCGAGTTTGAAGTAAAACAATAGTGTATTTCACATGAACTGGCGTAATAAATTCATGTGAAATAATTCAACATGCACTCAAGGTAACCAAATATTCAACATTTGTTCCATACCAAATTTGGATTCTTTCTTTATTCTCATGCAGCTACTGAAACAAAATCTGTCCAGAGCCTTTGATGTTCAAAAATACAGTCATTGCACATTCAAGTACAAAATATACAAGTCACTGCACTTTATAGTAAATCTTATGAAGCATTTTGAGACATCTTCCCAACATGAAAGGTGCTATATCAAGTACAATGATTATTAACTTGAACATTGTTAAAATAGGAAGAGAAAGATTATAAGAGAGATTCAAATGAAAATATCCCTTTGGCCCATTAGAACTTTTCCTTCCAGAATACCAACCCTAGAGACCTCCCATTACAGCATCAAGCTTTTTTTAAAAAAAATGAGTCCAGCATTCTGACCTCAACTACCCTTCCTAGTAACCTATTCCAGTTGTTAATTATCTTCTGGGTGAATAAATACTAACAATCCTTCAATTTGATATAGTATCTTTCATTTCAGGAGGATATCTCAAAACGCATCCAATGGTGTCTGTCGTGAAATTCCCTTTGCAGCCCTAAACCTGTGTCCTTTTCTGTTGTCTTGGTGCAAGTGAAATTATTGTTCTGCATTTACTTTCTCAATCCCACTTAACTTCATATATATATATATATTATATATCTTTAAAATCCCCTAAAAATGTCTCCTTTCAAAACTGGAGATCTGATGAAACGAAAACAGAAATTCTTGCATTCAACTTTCCAATTCAAATAGACAAGATTTAGATTTTAGCACAGCATAATAATAAATAAAAAACAGGAAACAACTTCTCTACTGGGTGAGTTGGCTGAGAAAGTGCTCCCTGCTTGGCATGGACCAGCACCTCCAGATATGGTTAAACCCGAGGCTACCTCCAATAATCCAGATAGTTTTATCTGATACCTGAAAGGACGAATGCATTACAACATCTTGTAAACTGCACGGAGGAAGATGGAGGAGGACAACAGTCAGCCAATGTTACACCAGTTTGATTAGTTACCTACAGTAGCTTGAATATTACAATGGAAGAAAGGTTTGGATTCAAAGTTATCATGGCTTAGAATAATCCTGGTTTGGCTACAAAATACAGTTATTAAACTTAACAGCGTGTCCTGTGAAGCGCTGAGATGTCTTCCCAACGTCAAAGGTGCTATATTAAATGTAAGGATTATTATTTATTACACTTCCTGTCCTTTGAAGGCTCAAGATGTGAGAGTCTCCTAAAGCAACTCGCAACAATCCTTGTTGATAATGCGCCTCACCAAGATTCAGATGAAAGCCTAGAGAACCTATTTTTTTTAAGTAAGTCCTGTGGACATTCCTGATATTGGGCCTCTTGAGCATTTAATAGCTGTAATGATTTCCTCCCCATCCTCCTCGTATGTGATGATTGATGGTACTGATGTTGAAAGCCTCTGAAATGGAAGAATTATCTGGGTGGCTGAGAAAGGATGAATGATGAATACATGACTTGAACACAACAGCATTTATAGAATTCTTTTTCTTTAAATCTCTACACTTGCTCAAATATAAGGCACAGTTTGTTTTCATTAAAAACGTACTACGCAAATCAGGGTGTACCTTAGAATTGATGGTATCTTAAAATTTCCAGTAAAGTTCATCCACCCCCTTCCATCGCAATGCGCACTGACTGCTACCTAGATTCAAGTCACTTTAGGTTCAAATAAATATGGTAACTCAGGATTCTGGTAATTAAAGATCTATGGCTCATTTGGATATAAAGATTCTGAGCAGAGCTGTCGGCATCTACGACTTGGTTTCCAAATGAGAACAGGTCATCAATTCCGTGTTGTACCTGCAGAAAGTTGATTGTGCCAAAAGTCCACAATAATTAATTAAATATAGCTACTCAATTCACAAGGCTTTTCTTTCCTCTGCATTCAATTTATTTAGTGTCATGACTTCTGCTCCACATTCAGACTCTATAAATTAGATCAATGTTGTGCTCAGACTTCACTTGAGCAGCCTATTTCCAATTCATGGGAATTCTTTCTGTTATTCCTGATATTCACCATATCTTCATGTGATACACCAATTAACCCATTAGATACTTTACGCCACGGCTCCACCAGGTTTGAACATGTGACTTTGGTGCATTTTTCTTGATAAACATTTATGACCATATCAAGTTAACTTCTTGATGTGTTAATTTTAATACAAAAAATCTAAAGCTATTTGTTGTAAGCTATAAAAAAGGCAGAATTCCACCCTCAATTTATCTGTATCTATATATAGTGAAGTTTACTGTTGTTGCAGTGAAACAAGTAGGCTGCAAACTTGGAAGTTAGTTTTCATGAATTTGGGAATTTAACCAGAAATGTTTACCTGGGGGTTTCATAACACAATGCAGAATGGAAACATTTTCTCACATCGAAAATGGGGTTGCATTTGAATTGATGATAAACTAGATGGAAACTACATAGGTTTGATGGTTTTCAGCATTGTTAACGTCTGCAATGTATAATGTGGCCCTCGAAGCTTGCCTGCTTATTCAGGGCAAAAAAAATCCCTCTCTGCAAAGTAATCAAGATTATTAAGTTTACGAAGGGCTGCTAACATCTCTTCAGAATCCCCATAAGATTAACCGATTTTTATTATTTAATGTATAATGCAGTTGTAAAATCCACCGGAACAGGTAATTTGCTTGCTGGCCACATATTGCAACAGTGCACTGGTTGAACCATGTTGGAGTGAATAGTGATTTTTTTCTTGGCTTATTTAAATACACAGAAAAGGAGACATGTTCTTGTTGAATTAGCTGCATTAAACAGTTTGAAGGAAAATACTCATAAGTTGACTCACAAGCAACATCTCCCCAACATCTCCCTATTGATAACAACAACAACAAATTACACTTGTATAGCACCCTTCATGTTGGAAAGACATCCCAGAGCGCTGGACAATCAGGAGTCTTCAACCCGAGTTGGAGTCAGAAGGGGAGGAGGACAGGGCCGGTGGGGGTGGGAGGGTGGCCAAAGGCACGATTGAAGAGGAAGGTCTTCCAAATGGACTTGAAGGAGGCAAGAGAAGGGGTAAGGTGGAGGGATTGCGGCATAGAGCTCCAGAGTGTGGGGGCAGAGATGCTGAACGCCTAGATAATCACTTAGGCAGAGATTTGTGGGGAGGACTCCATATCAAAGCACTCCACAGTAATGCACCCAATTTTATAATGCACTCGGAATATCTTTTATAATCAGAGTCGAGAACACAAGTAAAGCTTAGGTGGATTGAATTATAACTTTACTGCAAAAAGCATTTTATACAAGTATTTGCAAATGTAAATAGCTTTAGGAATCGGTAGGTGTTTGCAGGTACAGCTTCTTGTTGCAGTCAGATTGCCTTTGAAGGAATGAAAAGCGCTTCACTAGCAGGTCTCCAAAGTTTAAGGAAATCTATGTGAACATTCAGAAGAAATTGTTTTATTCAAAGTAATTCAAGTCTATTGTGCATAGTTCTTTGCTGGCTCAGCGTGTATAAATGTCGCTCTTAATGTACCTGCTCACCATGTCCAATGCGATTTGAGTTTAATTCTAACTCTGTCTACAGTGCATTTTGTAGAACAGGTGTTATTTGAAGCCTGTAAGCAATTCAGTCTGAAATTTTATTGTTCAGCAGAGCAAAACTGTTAACTAATCTGAATGAATGCTTGTTGGTATCTATTTCAATTTCTGAAAACACCTGCCTTTATGCGGTAAACAATAATTGTGGTTAAAACAAAATATACCATTGGATTAGCTTCCACAATACACTAAGACATTCTTTGTTAAAATACCCACTTTCTGTTTTTTGTTTAACGGAAATTGGGCATGGAATATAAAGCAATCCTAAGTCCATCTTTTTTGTTTGGCAAGATTTTCTACTTCAGCTGCCAATCTCTACCGCTGCCAGTCTTCTGCCAATAAAACAGAACTAACAGTTTCAGGCTGTTATTTCAACCAACATTGTTTAAATGGTGTCCTCTGCTCGGGCTTTCTTGTTTGTGATATGTGAGCCATACAGCAGCAAAACAGCCAACTCCCTACTTTTTATATTTTTGTCTTGGTTTCTAATGTTTTTTTTTAGATTGACCCAACAATTTAACAACACTTTTAGAAGCGCATCTGCCTATTAATTTAATGGTGTGTGTGTGTGTGCTAGTTTTGCAATACAGACCATTCTATAGGTAGATGTTCACTAAATTCCATTAAAAATCATAGTGTTCAATGACCAGCTGGCTGGAATGATGAAGTTGGTTAAGTAGCTGATCACTCTCCAGTGACCATTAATAGAGTATGTTTGTGTAGCTATAATGTAAATTGTGATTGTATGTAGCAATCGTTTGGTTGAGTGATTAGCTAACACTTACAGATTAGGTTTACACGTGAGGAATGACCACTTGGATAAAACACTAGAATGCTGCTGGTGCCACAGAACCATATCCACAGCACAGTATTTTAAGGGTAATAAAAGTATTGAAACAAAATGGCATTTTGCAATAAACGCAAGGATTTAGTGTGCAATATTCTCAAAATAGTTAACAGTGATTTGCAAAAGCTGCCAAAGCCCAGCAATACTAATCAAAGGAGAGAAAAGCAGAGAACCATGAGGAGATAATAGGTTGTTCTTCTGGCTTATGTTTTACATTCTGGTGTTTTGTGGAAACTGCAATTAGCCATTTTACAATATCATAAATTAAATCTGAAGCATTTAATTAGGTGTAGATTGGGCCAGGTTCTATCCATTTTGTTTAGAGAATTGGATTTTCATTAATTTTATAAGAGGCAGAATTCTGAAACTTAACACTGTATTCTGCTCTGTCTCGAACACTCTCAATAAGGGAAAAAATGTGGTTATTAAAAGACCAGTCCTTTAAAGAAGCTTCAACATGTTGAGAACAACTTGATCTACTAGTCACAGTTCATTCTGGCATATTTTAGGTCCAAGCAATGCTTCCTCATTTACTTTAACCACAGACATAAATAGTTATTTCCAATCACATTTCACAGCCAGTTTACTGAAGGACACAAATTTCATTCATGTTCTGTGCAGCAATGACACGATAATACTTACAACTCCTCGAGAAAGTGGAGGTTGTAAAGAGCACTCGGAGGCAGCACAGTGATGTTGTTCATGCTGAGATCCCTATGGGAGAGGATGAAATCAAGATAATTTTAAATATATGAATGATACAGCATGCCTTCACAGCCATTTAATCTGAAATTGTTAACTTGCTCTCACGGTAACACTAGGCTTGATCGCAGTCTCGAGATCTCAATATTTCTGATATTAGATTATTAATACAGTTAATAATTGTAACTGTGTTGAATAAAAGTTAAACACTGTTGCACTGACTCTTGCACAATTCCGTATTATTTTGAGAATTTCTGCAAAGAAGCTTTGCTGCATAATTTGGTTATGAAATCTGAATCACACATGGATAATTTGTGATAACACCAATGCATTTGTGTATATTTAATAAACCCAGTTCTTTTTTTAGCCTGCCAATTTGGGAAATGCGGCATATGGTAACATTATGTAATCCATCCAAAAACAAAAAATAATAATAAATTGGTCATTTTCAATCCACGACTGTTTGTGGGACATTGCTGTGCACAATTGGCTGTTGCGTTTCGCCCACAAATATACGGTCAATTCACTTTACAGTCTATTCTGTGAAGCGCTTTGAGACGTCGAGCAGATGTGAAAAGCACTGTATCAAATGCAAGGATTATTATTATTATTATAATGTGATCTTGCTCTGCACTACATACCCTGATAGGCTCAATTCTTGGTACAGGAAACCAACTAATAATAAATTATCCTTGCATTTGATACAGTGTCTTATCATCTTGTCAAAACTTCTCAAAATACTTCATGGGAGACACAAATTCCTGCTAGAATTATTGCTCCACAAAGTTGCGTGTCTTCCAGAACTCTGCCTAAATTTCCACAGTAACAATTTGACTCCTGCTGAAATTACAGCTCCAAAGCTACGGCTTTTCTCCAGTATTTACCCCAACTCCACCTGACTCCTGCTGGGATGGATTTTCTAACAGATACAGGTTTTCCTCTGGTACCTTGCCCAAGTTAACCATGAGTTCAGAAAGTGGAGTGTTGTCTGCCTGCATGGCTGGTTTTACCTCTCCTCAACTTGAGAGTGTTGGACCAGTTACATCACCTTAGACTGAAATCAACTCAGCAACCCAATCAGTCTGTACAGATAATAATAATCCTTGCATTTGATATAGCGCCTTATCACACCATTGAGATGTCTCAAAGTGCTTCACAGAATATACTGTAGAGTGGATTGATTGTATTTTGTGCACGACTAGATTCAGTGAGTTTACAATTTTTAAGAGGGACTTGATACATTACCAAAAACACTTACATTTCTAAAGGGGAACAAAGAATTACTTATAATAATGGATCCTAAAAATATGGTTACTAAAATATATCACATGACTTTCTGAATTCCTTAGCAGTTGGATGTGCTAATGACTTCCAGGGCAGTCTGCAAAAGACAAGCAGCCCAAGCACAATTACTGGCTTATAAACATAGTTCCTTCAATCCCCATTAGGCAGGTGCAAACAACAATCTAAAACATTCCAGTGGTCTAGGATCAATGAAACGAAATACCTTCATGGAGGAGGAAGGCGACAGTAGGAAGCAGACTAATAACAGTTGTCAAAAAAAACACGGAGCTTTATGTAACACAGCAACTTTACATTTTTTTTATCACACAGACTGCAGACATTTTGACTGCAGAATGCAGATCTATGCTAAAGTTGAACTGGTTAAGTAAAATCCTTGACAATATTATCAAAACAAAATAAAGGCAAAACTTCATGCTGAATGGAAAAGGAACTTTATTATTAGCACTGCTGATCACTGGCAATACCCAGTTTCACAAAGCACACTGTGTTCATCTATTAAAGATGCTGGAATTTAAGGATAAAGACTAGACCTTGAAATACAGAATTCTGTGTTGTACACATGCCAATATTATCTGGCGCCAGATATTTTCTTCAACAACATACAAATTGCTATTATCCACCCAAATAAACAGACAAAATATTGCAGTACTGAACAGTGAAAATACATTTTGGTTAAAAAATATGCAACGCTTCAAGCAGTGAACACATCAATTTTGCACATTGATATTACTAGATAGATATCTAAAAAAAACATTTTGATGAGGTATATTTGCTGAAATTTAAATCATTTTAACCACTGTGAGAAAATAATGGGCAATTTCAGTGTAAGTTCAGAAGATGTTAATTCCCAAGATTAATTTCTTATACTCACTCCTGATACCAGCTCCTTTATATTCTGTACACTGCAGAGTTTGCAGGCAGTTTTTGGTTACTTTGGTTCTTTTTTGGCAGCAGCATATTATGAAAGAGCACACGAACAACCAGAAGCAACCAGGAATTTATATAAAAAGACATCCTCACAAAGAGAGTTAGCAATCGTAACACAAAGCTTGATCCATTTCTCACATGCTGAATTATCACTAAATAAAAAATGCATGTGGTGTACTACTAGATAGATATCTAAAAAAAATCAGTAAACCACAGGGATAGTGGAGAAAGAGCAGATAAATGGGACTAAAAGATTTGTTTTTTAAAAAAGCCAATACAGACAATACAATACAAAATCATATTTGTATAGAGCATTTCACGTCGCAAGCACATCCCAAGACACTGAGCAGAGGGAGCGTACAGGTTGGTATGGTGTTAACAGGTCACAGAGGTAGGGGGGGCAAGGCCGTTGAGGGCCTGGAAGGCGAGGATTTTGAACTCTATCCATTGAGGGATGGGGAGCCAGTGGAGGCGAGTGAGGCTGGGGTGATGGAGTCACAGAACCTGGTGCGGGAAAGGACACTAGCTGCAGAGTTCTGGAAGATCTGCAGCTTGTGGAGGGAAGAATTGGGAAGGCTGACAAGCAAGGACTTGGCGTAGACGACCCTAGATATGATGAACGAGAGGGAGTGGGACTTGTTGGTTGTTCTTTCAAAGAGCTAGCACAGGCATGATGGGCCAAATGGCCTCCTTTTGTGATGTAGGTTTCTATGATTCTACAAGAAAGGGGGAAATCAGCCAGGTTCCTGGACCAGGTCGCTCTCCAGCGATCTCTTGCTGAAAGTGTGTACTTTGTGTGAGGACAGGTTTGGGCGGGGACATTATGTGCCCTCCCCAATCTAATTAATGGGCTGCCAGTTATCCGCCAATTTGGCAGAAACATCATAGTGCCTGCGCTCTTGTGAGAATGCAGGCACTGTGATGTTTCTGCCCCTCCCCTCTCCTAAAAACACTTGCCTCAATGGTTGTGTTTACGGGTTTGAGCACTAGACTGTGGCTGACACCCAAATCCAAGATGAGGAAACTAAACATTTACAAGATATCACAGTCCTTGGCAAACCATTGAGAACACTGACATTCTTGTATTTTCAACCTTTTCTCCAATTACTACACTAAATATAATAACAATCCTTGCATTTGAAATAGCGCCTTATCATGTCTTCAAGATGTTTCAAAGCGCTTCACAGAATATACTTTAACGTGAATTGACTGTATATTTAGTGAGCGAACCGCAGAAACCAATTGCACACAACAGTGTCCCACAAACAGTCTTGGATTGAGTGACCAATTTATTGCTATTTTTTTTTGAACGAATATGACCATTTTCACTTTTCCGGTCTAATTTATGGTATTACTTAATTGAATATTAATAATATGGATTCAGAGCCTTGCAAATGGGATTCCTTTCCAGACCATTTCCTTGAAGAACCCCATTAAGAGTTGCCATACATGAGGCTCCATCATTACTTAGTGAATGCAGACTGTCCTGTGTGGTTGAAAGAATCTCGATTGGAGACATTCCGCCAAGAATGAACACTATGGGGTAAAGTTTCCAACATTCCTTACTTACTTAAGGAATACTTTGAGGAATACTGCCTTGTATTTCATAAGTTTGAAAACATGGTAGACGGGCATGCAACCAATTACAGTTTTACAAATTAATATTCACCTTGTTGCAATGGCAGTTTCAGCTGCACTCATAAGTACTACTGCTTGCATTTATATAGCTCCCTTCAGGTGGGGTAGTGTCCCGGAATGCTTGATAAATCTTAGAATGGATGTTACAGTGAGCAATAAGTATAGAGCAAGTTTAGGGTTGGAAGTTCATGCAGTTGGTCCCAGAGATAAATAAACACCTCAAACCATTTTGGCACTGAGTCATGGCTGGCTCCTTTTTTGGACGAATTGTTGACTGTAGAACACAACCAGTTTGATCCAGGTTTTTTTTTGTTGCAGTTAGGAAGCCAACTTTCCATTCCCCTCTCCCATCCTACTGTTGTAAGGTTTAAAATCATTGTTGTGGCTTTCAGCTACTTTGTGCATTCCAAAACCAAGTCCACCAATTTGTAACTCTACATTGCTCAATTGAATGCAGGTTTATGTTGTGTGCGCGTGTCCCGAATAGAGCATTTGACTGACAAATACAGATAGGTCTTTAAACATTTTGTGCCAATGTACTCACAATACACTAACATGAATGAAATGCACCATATCATTGATGCATTTAAAACGCACAAATGCTTGTGGCCATCACATATACTCTGGTCCAAATTGATCCAAATTGAAAGAATAGGATTTATTTATTTCCAATCAGAAGCACAACTTCACAACTTCTCATGTTACTGCAATTGTTAAAGGGTTAGCCAATGAGTTAGTGAATTACACACCCTATGTCTCAAGATAATACTGCAATGTACTTCACAGCTGCACACATCTATTCCAGGTGCATTATGTTTGATGGTCTTAAGTAAATGTTAACCGTGTGAGAAGCATTTCAACAGTTGTCAGCTGTTTCATGTGAATAAAAACTGGAGAACAATTCATCCTTTGTGCGTCTCAATTTGTGTCATCAAATAACACACGACTCCATAAACCTGCTATATATTTATCACTTATTGGACAATAGTTCCTTACTTACCTTGGCACTTAACAAATACAGTGCCACTCAATAGAGTTAAGAAGCCAAAAAATGCTGATCACAATATTAACAGGGTTTGTACATGGTTTCCAATATTACTCATAAAACTCCTTAAAGATGAGGGATGTAGAGCAATCAAAAT